TTCCTCGAATAACCATGGCCCAACATAAAGGAATCAAACCTCTTGTACCATTGTCTTGTAGATTATTTAATCCGTACAAGGATTTCATCAACAAGTAAACATGATCTTTTTTTCCTTCAATTTCAAATCCTTCAGGTTGATGCATGTATATTTGTTCCTCAAGTTCTCCATGTAAGAAAGTTGTCTTAACATCAAGCTGTTCTAATTCCAAATTATACATGGCAACTAAGACAAGCAAGACACAAATAGAGTTATGTTTAACTACAGGTGAGAAAATATCATTAAAATCAACTCCTTGTACCTGACTATAGCCCTTTGCAACTAATCGTGCTTTATACCTTGCATCTTCAACCCCTAGAATTCCATCTTTTTTCTTGAAAACCCATTTGCAACCAACAATTCTTTTACCCGACAACGACTTCACAAGAGACCAAGTACCATTCTTGTGGAGAGATTCAATTTCTTCATTCATTGCAACCAGCCACTTGGCCAAATCAACATTAGAAACTACTTCTGAATAATTGGATGATTCTCCAATTTCTTCAGTTTCCTGTGCAACTGAAAAGGCAAATGCAACATAATCTCCATACCTTTCAGGTTTCTGAATTTGTCTCCTTGGTCTGTGTGTGGCTATAGAATACTCATTTGATATAACTTCTGGAGCTTTAACTTCAGGAGTTTCAATTGTATTTTGCTCCAGGGTTGATGAGTTTGGCTTTGAAGGAATGCCAAGTTCAACCTCCACATGCTCGTGTATATCTTGCTCCTTATTCGTATTACTAGAACTAGAAGACTTTTTTCTTGGGAATAACATAGAGGATTCATCAAAGGTTACATTTCTGCTAATTATGAATTTTGGTGACTTGGGATCATGATACCAGAGTCTGTATCCTTTCACCCCAGATGCGTATCCAAGGAAAATGCACTTTTTTGCCCTTGGTTCTAATTTATCATCATTCACATGCATGTACGCGGGACAACCAAAGATTTTTAAATCAGAATAATTAGCAGGAGTACCTGACCAAATTTCCTCTGGAGTCTTAAAGTTCAAAGGTGCAGAAGGAGCACGGTTGACAATGTAACAAGCTGTAGAGATAGCCTCTGCCCAAAAAGCATTTGTCAACCCAGAATTTGAAATCATGCAACGAGCTCTTTCCAAAAGAGTTCTATTTATCCTTTCTGTAACACTGTTTTGTTGAGGGGTCATCCTCATAGTGTGATGTCGACCAATTCCTTCATTTTTTGCAAAATTCATTGAACTCATCATTACTAAATTCTAAACCATTATCTGTTCTAAGCCGCTTGACATGTTTTCCTATTTGCTTCTCAATTAAAACTTTCCATTGTTTGAAAGTTAAGAAAACATCACTTTTATTTTTCAGGAAATAAACTCAAACCTTCCTTGAATAATCATCAATGAAAGTTAACATATACCTGGCACCACCTTTTGACGGGGTACGAGAATGACCCCAAAGATCTGAATGAATATAGTCCAAAGTACCTTAAGTTCGATGAATTGCTGGAGATTTGAATCTGACTCTTTTCTGCTCCCCGAACACACAGTGTTTGCAGAACTCCATGTTCTCATTACTTTGTCCACACAGAAGATCTCTTTTCCTGATGATGGAAAGACCTTTCTCACTCATATGCCCCAATTGCATATGCCACAATTTGGTGATGTCGAAATCAGATTGGGTAGAAACTGCAGCAGAACAGTGGATCCCAACAAAGTGTACAACGTACCAGATCTGCTTGCTTTCATGATCACCAGAGCACTAAGAGATATTTTCATAACTCCACCTTCACCTGTGCATTTTCACCCAAGAGATTCTAGAGTGCCCAAAGAGATGAGATTTTTCTAAGTCAGGAACATATCTAACATCAGTGAGAGTTCTTACCACACCATCGTACATTCTGATTTGAATTGTACCTTTACCAAAAACTTTGCAGGGAGCATTGTTGCCCATTAAGACAACTCTACCTCCAACAGATTCGTATGTGGAAAATAAATCCTTATTGGGATACATATGATAAGAACAACCCGAATCCAAAATCCACTCATCATTAGATTTAAAACTATTACTAGTAGCTAAATATATTGTTCCATCAGACTCATCAGCAGCTAGGGGTGGGCATAAGTATCGGAAAACCGAATCGAACTAAACTATTTTGATTTTTTGATGTCGGTTCTTCGGTGTTTCGGTTCAGTGTCGGTTCTTTTTTTTAAAACTTCGGTTCGGAGTTCGATGTAAGGGTCCCGAAACTACGGTGCACCGAAGAACCGAAGTTTTATTAAATAAATTTAAAAATATTTATATTATATTATTTAATAATACTTATATATTTTGACTCAAAATATTTACATGGCCCATTTCAATTTTTAACTTTACTTGGTCCATTTCAATTTTTAAATTTTGGAGCCTAAACAAAACAGTAAAGGGCACACTTAATTATTCACACTTTAAAACAGCAAAGGTCACCCAGCCTAAGCAAAACTATTTTGATGTTATTACTTTTTATTGTTAGTTGTTACTTTGAAGTTTGAAGTGTGAAGTGAACAACAATTGTTACTTTATCATATTCCCTCTTTAGTTTTATTCACACCGAAAAACGATTTAAAAACACTGAACTAAACTGAACCGAAGTAGAAAAAATTGAACTGAACCAATCTAGTTTGGTTTGAAATATGGTGAACACTTTTCTAAAACCGAACACTGATGAACCGAACCGAAGAACCGAATGCCCACCCCTATCAGCAGCTACACTTGCTTCAACGGGGTCAGTATTTTGATGCTCATGTTTGTTTTCCTTGTGCTTTTCTTTGTTTTTCAACTTATAGCATTCAAAAATAATATGACCTTTCTTATGACAATATTTGCACACCACATTTCTATATCTGGACTTTGACCTTGATTTAGACCTCTCACTACTTGATTCTTTCTTATTAGATCTACCTCTTACAAATAAACCTTCCCCATGGGTTACACTACTTTCTTCAGTAATATCTCTATCTATATGTTCTTTTGATATTAAGATAGATTTGATTTCCCTGTAAGAGATATTATCCTTTCCATAAAGCATAGTATCTCTAATATACTTAAATGATTGGGGAAAGGAAATAAGTAATAAGACGGCTTGATCGAAATCATTAATTGTAGCATCAATATTACTCAAATCCATAAGAATAGAATCAAATGCATCAAGATGTGAGAGTATAGAAGTACCTTCAACCATATGAAATGTGTAAAGTTTTTGCTTTAGGTATAGTCTGTTTTCCACTGTCCTCTTCATATACAAGGTTCTTAGGTTTTTCCACATGCTTTTGGCTGTGGATTTTACAGATACTTTACGTAAAACCTCATTTGAGAGATTTAAAATGATACCTGATTTTGCCCTTTTGTCTATGACGGCAAACTCCATGTCCGTCATATTTTCTAGTTTCTTCTCCTTTCCTTCTAGTGCCATATCTAGGCCATCTTGAATTAGTATAGCTTCCATCTTTAATTGCCACATCCCGAAGTTTGCACTTCAGTCAAAGTTTTCAACATAAATCTTTGTTATCGTCATTTTTGGCTAATGAACCTAACCTGATTAGATCCGGCTCTGATACCAATTTGTTAGGATCGTGAACTCGGGTACTGCGGAATTTAGCCAAACAATGTTACAATGACAATAACAAAGACAATAGTAAGTTGATAATAACGACAGTAAAGCAATTAAAAAAGACACAAATTTAACATGGTTCGGTCAATGTGACCTAATCCACAAGCGGAGAAGAACAATTTCACTATATCAACAAGAGTACAAAAGAGAGAATAAAATTAGAGCAAATACTCTAATTAATCCCAAATACCCAAAGAGAAAAACCTCGCAAGATCACTCCAAAGAAAGCGTTCACACAAGTGTTTCCCAACACAAACTCCGTTACAAAATTATTCTTAATGGAAAGACAAAGAAAGAAAGCAATGAAATATTTTCATATGCTTCAATGTGTATTTCAACTAATGTCTAAGCTTCCTATTTATAGAGAAAAAATAGGCTTGTTAATGTCATGGATGATGTCTTTGGAAGATACAAAATATTCAACAAATCTCAATGTGAATATATCAAATATGGTGGCTTCCAAATCTTTGACAAATATGACTACCAAATTTCCACATTTGTGACTTCCAAATCTTTCCAAAAAAAAGATAAAATAAGTTTCTTCAATCAAACAAAAGGCCACATTACACATACTTTCAGTATTCCCTTCAGAGCTAGTTTCAGAAATTTGATCCCTTTTACAATCATCAGCCTCCTTTTCAAAATGAGGGGTTATTTCTTCATCACTCACATTCTGGGTATCTCTATGAGAATCAACTGAGAGAGTAAGACTTTCATCCTGAAGATGATGACTTATGTGTTGGATGGCCTGAGAATGGTTGTTCTGATTATTTAATTCCTCGTGTTTCTTCTTTTTTTTGCTAGCCCCTTTCCTGGGTCGGGCACTTTGTGGAGTGTTGTTATTCACTACTATCGAGACCAAGTACTTATTTGGACATTGTTTCTGAGTCTGGTCAAGTGCATCGTCTACATGGTTGTCGTTAGAGTTATTCACTTCAGACACCTCCATACCATTGTTCAGTTGAGAGGTAATGTTCAAATCTTCCTTAGTATTGTCCATTTGAGAGGCCTGATTACGATCAAAACTCAGAGGACTTATATAAAAAAACCTGTGTCCTGATTTCTTTTTTTCATCTGGAAGTTGCTAGGAGATTCAACGGCTGGACTATCTTTGTTCCTTTCTATGGTAAAGGGCTCAGAGATATATATTTCCCCCTTCCTAATGACTAATAGTACCAAAAATCATGTTACTGATTATAGGAGCTCGAGGCCGAGTGTCGGAAATGTTTTTGTCCTCATTATCCTTCAGGATCTGAAGGCTCTTTGCTTATACCCTCACTATCACAGTGGTCCTGATTGAAGTCTTCGTTGTTGGCATGATTGTGATTTAGAGGAAGATGTTTCTCACTATCCTTGTTGCTTTGATCATCTACAGGGTTGTTGCTCAGAATCTCAACTTCTTGATCATTATTCTGACTGATAGAGTTCTTGGCAAGTATCTGGTGCAACAGTTAGGGTAAGATCCTAGACACTTCTCCTTGAATGAGCATTTCAATCATACAACAACTCGGCTTGATTCGTGTCTTATCTTTCTTCTAATTTCTCGATAAGTTTGTCAAATCATCAAAACAAAAATAGTACCGCAATAACTATGCATCATAAGAAAAATGCACCATCGAAACAAGCAAAATAACATCAACTTCTCCATATATTTTAACAAACAAATAGACTACAACACCATTAACATGAACAACAATTTAAAATAATTCTAAATTCTATGCGCAAGGATAAACAAAAACTCAACAAAAAAAAATGTAACGGAATCAAGAAAACTAAGTATTACTAACACAATTTTCAATAATCAAATAGGCTAAAATTCCAGAAATTTCAATAATTTTTAGGAAAAAGACCTGATATACCCCTCAACTTTGTTATTTAGAGTTGATATACCCTCGTTATAAAAGTGGCTCACATACGCCCCGCCCCCTACTATTACAAAATGGCTCACATATTTCGCTACCGTTACAAAAGTGACTCATATATACTCCTAAATTTTATTTATTTTTATTTTTATTTTTTAAGATATCATTTCACACATAATCTTTTTTTTTTAGTTTTTTATTTTTTTTCTTTCATTCCTTTGTGTGAAAATAAGAAGAATAAAAAGAAATAAGTGTGAATGGAAAATGATTAAAAAGTTTTAAAAAATTAAAATTATTTTCTTGCGGCTATATTTTGTGGAGTTTAAGTTTTATGCGTGTAAAAAATATATTACACCATTAAGTGAATTAAATAATTGCCATCAAATTTATATAATTAAAATTTAGGAAAAAATATTAAAACTAGAATTTTGATTGTTCTTTAACTAAATTAGTAATATTTCCTTTTACAACAAAAATCAAATCTAACTTTTCATTTTTCTCTCTCAACAAAATCATCAAAATTAAACTATTAAAATTGCTGGAAGTAATTCTTCCATGTTTCAACTTGTTAATCTTGAAAGGAAAAAAGTTGCATCAAAGTTTAAAATCTATTAAAACTTTGTAAATGATAACTATTAAACTATTCAGTTTTTCTTTATCACATAGTTAAAAACACAAGCAAAGAAAGATAACATGGAGAGAAGGTTTTGGCAGAGAATCCGATTTGGATGAGTTGAGAAAGTTATTCCAATTTTAGAAGAAAAAAAAACGAAAAAGGATAATAAAATCTTTAAAAAAATGGGTTACCTACAATAGCAGGTCAACTTTACCTGATGGTGTAGAATATTTGATACATTGACGGTGCACAAAACTTAAACTCTATTTTATGTGTGTAGCAAAAAAATATTTGGGGTATCTATATTAAATTTTACAAGAAAATAAGTGAAAAAAATAAATTTGACTATCAAAATAATAAATTAAAATTAGTCGAAGATTAAAAATAGTCAAAAAAAAAAAAGGTGTGAGAAAGATCAAATATACTCGACAATATGGAGTATCTTTTTTTCAATAAAAAAAATAAAAATTAATTCAATTTTTTTTTTCACTTCTGTTAAAGAAAATGGTATGTGTGAGTCTTTTGTATAATAGTAAGGGTATATATTAGTCATTTTCATAACGAGGGGTATATTAACTCTAAATAATAAAGTTAAGGTGTATATCAAATATTATTATTTTTTCTGAGCAATAGTTTATTTTAGTTTAGGCCACAAAACGAAACAGAACGAAGTGACTATTTTACAAATTAAATTTTGAAAGTAGTATCATGCCACATTATCACAAGTGTCTATATATTTATTTAACATAACTAAAAAAAAATAATCTTTGAAATGAATAGTTGAGTAATTATTTATAAATACCGCATATGTATATTAGTATACTTTCTAAATGAGATGATAGAGCTAAGCTTAAAATTTGGCTCGTATCACGAGATTCCGCATTAACCGCAATTTATATATATATATATATATATATATATATATATATATATATATATATGCTTTCTGTTTCCTTCATTAGTTGATACACACAGTACAAAATAAAGAAAATAGAAACAGTAAAATAAAAGATATATAAAAAACATATCTAAATAACTCTTTTTTTTTAGGTTTCATACCTAAAATTATTGGGAATATAATTTTCATACCTAAATTATTATTTATTAGTTTGAGAATCACATGGTGTGTAATACACTCTCTTTTATTTGAAAAAAACATTGTCACATACCATTATACATGGATAAAATATTTCACCTTGACAAAAATTAAATAATAAGTTATTAATATTAATTAAAAATTAAAGTATTATTATCTCCAAAAACATATTTTTCTTTTAAAAAAATTATTTTTCTTACCCACTCTACCGCCTCCCCCCGTACCGCCCTCCCCCCAAACCACCCACTCATTCTAAAAAATTTTTGATATAATTTTATTTTAAAAAAAAAAAAATCTACCCCACCCTATCTAACACTCAGCTCCAAATTTATTTATTTAATTACATTTTTTCCATTTTTTGTTAGATATCTACATATATTTTTAGGAAAATCTTTTTTATATATATATTTAAGTATAATTAAAAATTTATTTTGAAAAAATAATATATGTATATATCTAACACAAAATGAGAAAAGAAATAGAAACGGAGAGTTAGGTCTTGTTTTGAAGTATCACAAGAGATTGATCAACAAACATACATAGAGAAAAGTAAGAGAGTGCAGATTTTCGCACAAGTCCTATCAACCAATTTGACATCGCGATTCCCGCTTCGTTTCTTGTCCGATTGGGGCATTGAGATGATCTTTGGACAACTTGTTCCTTTTAACTTAATCTTTGATTGGAAACTAGAGAGGTCGATTTGGAGTCCCGTAGCTTCAGCTTTTAGCTCGTGAACAATAGTTGTGTTTCGGTGATTTTACTCCTTTCATCTCTCTAGTTTTTGTGTTATCTTGCAGTTGGCGTTTCTCATTGTTTGGCACTTTGTTGGTGGCCATTTTGGAGAACACTTTGTAACTCTTGTTGATTTTAGTGAAGCTTTGACCTTGTGGTTTTTACTCTTCACACCGAAGAGGTTTTCCACGTTGAATTTGATGTCTCATGTATTGATTTATTTTTCTTGCTTTGGTTGATTTGTTTGCTGCCCTAAACAGTGTTTTTCTTTCATTAGTTTGTCTTCTCTTGGTTCAAATAGAAAGAGAAAGTTTGGACTTGAGTTTCTTCCGCTACGCACAGGGATAAACAAAAACTAAAAAAAAATGTTATGGAATAAAATAAAAAAAAGTATTACTAACAAAAATTTCCAATAAACAAATAGGGTAAAATTACAAATAAAAATTTGAAAGTATTATGCAAAATTATCCGAAATGTCAATTATGTGTTTATTTAACTTAATTAAAAATGAAAAAGAAAAAGAATTAGTATACTTTCTAAAATGAACATAACCGCAAATCTTTCCCTCCACTTCCCCCGTGTGTGTATATATATATATATCTGCTTTCTGTTTCCTTCATTAGTTCAAAGAAGAAAATAACGAAATAGTTTAACCGTTTTCTGGAAATGAGTAATTATCTGCCGCCTCGTCTGTCGGTTTTCTTTTTCCAGCATCATAGCAGGGCGGCACACTTGATAATGGAACTTCATTACGGTCATGATCGTGAAAAAGTTCTTGTGCAACTCAACGAATTCATCAGACAACCGAGAAGTGAATCAATGCGCATCAATCTTGGATATCACCTGTCGAACTCCTTCGATACTGTACTCAATATACTTGTAGAGGTACAACTAATAATTTACTGAATTAAATTTCATACTTTTCGTTCACATTGAAATCTTGAATATAGAAATGACATTGATTTTAGGAAGTAATAGCAGAGAAGCCCAAGTTTTTAGACTCAACATTAACCCCGAGGGAATCTTCAAAAGTTTGTAATGCTCTATCGGTATTTCAGGTGTGTATGATCAAATTTATATAGGCGATTTCTGTGCACACAACTCTGTTACCGAATAGATCATGATTTTCTGTGCAGTGTATGGCCTCTGATCCAGGTGCAAGAAAGTGGCTCGTCCAAGGTAGCGTCGTTGTTTCCTGATTTGCTTCGTGGATTGAGATACGGAACAAGTAAAAGGGATCATACAGTCAACTGAAAATTGTTCTTGTTCTTGTCTCCTGTTTGCAGAAAAAATACATAAAATTCTTTACCCATTCCTCAAAGAAACTACAAATGTGATGACGCCTCGGCAACCTGTGAGGCTTAGCATCTTGATTCTTATTGATGCCCTAACAAAGGTGACAATATAACTATTTTAGTACTGCAGCTATCGTAATATGATGTTCTGAATTCACTTTCTTGTGCAGTTTGATGAGTTACATGGGCATGAAATTCTTCTTTTATTTCTACAAACACAAATATTTTCTTCCTGCTTGCACTGCATTCATCATGGTGATATGCCGATAAAGAAGGTTAGGCCTACCTACAATTTCATCTTTTGCAAAAATATATATGACAGTGAAATTCTGATATAATCATTGTAAGTGAGCCCATGGTGAACAAACTTTTTCGATTTATGTTGCTTTCTGCTGAAAAGTGTGTTATGTGCGTGTGTGCAGGTTGCAACACTCATACTTATGAAAATCTTGATGCAAGAGGAAGGGCTAAGATGTTGTTACTCTCGCCCTGATTGTCTTCGGTCAGTGATGGAAGTCTTGGGTCAACTGGTAGAAACATTTTCTTATCAAATCCCTTGTTCGCAGCACCTAAAATATGTTATTCGATGCTTCCTAAGTCTTTCGCGAGTAGGATGGATACCCAGGTAATTTTTTTTGTCCCTAATGGTGAATTGTCTCTAATTATCCAATATTTTATTATTTGATTTGATCTTCCAACATGATACAGGGTATATGAAACAGTGAGAAACGGGGTTCCTCAACAACTAATTGACAACACTTTTCGCGTTATTATTCATGTAAGTCCATCGTCTTGTTTCTTCCGACAAATACAACATCCCTCTAGCTAATGTGCAAAACAAAAATGAGTCTTCACATTTACTTTATGATATTACTAATTTGCAGGTAGATCCACAGATTCAAAATATGCTGTATCAGTTATTATTGAATCTTAATCTTAATCCCCAACAATTGCTCGGATGAGGATTGACTATAGAGATAGCAAAAGTGTTGGGAAGGAATTCAACAAACTTGCTTTATAGAATCCAATCCCTATATACGTTATATTTTAGAATTTTGCAGATTTAGTATGTAAAGGTTTTGAGTATTTGAACGTATAACTAGCCTTACTGCTTGCTGAATGAACATTCTCATTTTACTATTTTTGGTGTAAGAAGTTATTTTCTGCTACAACCAAGTGATCACGTACAGAAGACTTTCTAACATCCTTCGAGCATTTATGTTCTCGATCACTTGTGTTGCCGTTTATTGTGTCCCACTTTTCATGTTGAATCTAAATCTAATGGAGGACTCATATTCTGGAGTTTCCAAACCTCCTTCTATCCAAAATATATAGTGATCCTTCTAGCTAATAAATGTTTGGAGGTTTGCTGTCTGTCTGGTTCAGTTACTATTAATTACCCTTTCATTAACCAATTTAAAGTGCAAGAAGGGAGGGAATTCGCTTCTTTTCTTGATATCATCTTAACAAGTGAGTTATTAAACTCTTGTTTGGATACAACTTTAGTTAGAACATCATCTAAGGTCTTTCACATATGAACTTCATTTGTCTTATCCTCCAACTTTTCTCCACATATTTATTACAATCATGTTGAATCTCCATAGTTTTATTACGCTCACGATAAATCTCCACATGCTCTATACCAATTGAAGACTTGTACGAGTCCACCGCAATTCCAGGACTACAACAGCTTTTCTGCAGTGCTGCATTTCTACAATAGTGACTGCAACTTAGAGATGTTAGACTCGTAGGGATCGTTCTGGTGCATACCTCAGTTCTCCTACCAAATATGATCCCTTTGAGAGACAACTCCCCTGAGTGAATATTCTCCCTTGAATGAGCATTTCAGTCATACAACAAATCGGTCTGCTGCATATCTCATTCTTCATCTGATTCCTCAATAAGTTTATTAAACCATCAAAATAAAGCATAGTACCGCAATGTTGGTGTTTATACATTTTAATATTAAAACTAAAGCATTAAATGTATATGTTAATGGGTATAATTAAGTTGACAAGAACGTGGTCATTATTTTGGCGTAACTGATCTTGTACCACTAGGGGTGACAAATGGTTGGATTGGATCAGATTTGGATGGATTGAGCAAAAATGGTTTGGATTACAATCCACCCAAATAGAATATGGCTAAATATGGATTTGGTCAAATATGATTTGGGTAAAATGGTTCTAATCCATTTAAAAAATCTATTTTCAAAAAAAAAAATTACCCCCTCGCCCGGGCACCTCCCACCCCCCGGGGTCCCCCCCACCTTCCACCAACCTACCCCTAATTTTTTTTTGTTTTCCAAAAATAAAAACAAAACTGTTTCCACCATCCTATCCCTAAATTTTTTTTTGTTTTCCAAAAACGAAAAAAAATCTGTTTTTTCAAAAAAAATAAAAATTTACCCCCTCCCCCGGGAATCCCCAAACCCCCCCCCCCCCCCCCCTCATCTTCCACCAACCGACCCCTAATTTTTTTTGTTTTCAAAAACAAAAAAAAAATCTGTTTTTACAAAAAAAAAAAAAATTTACCCCCTCCCCCGGGAATCCCCAACCCCCCCTGCCCCCCACCTTCCACCAACCGACCCCTAATTTTTTTTATTTTCAAAAACAAAAAAAAAATCGGTTTTTTCAAAAAAAATAAATTACCCCCTCCTCCGGGCACCCCCCCTTCCACCAACCTACCCTTAATTTTCTTTTGTTTTTCAAAAAACAAAAAAAAAAAAATCTGTTTTTCAATTAAGTTTGAAAATTAATTGAATTTTTGAAAATTAATATTAATTTTTTTATTTTTTAGCACAATTAAGAATTTTGAGTGGAAATGAAAACTAAGTGATCTATTATGGATCAATATGGATACCCATATTTAACCCATTTTGACCATATTTGTAGAGACTCTTAAAATAACTTGAAGCCCATATTTAACCAATTAAAATAGCTCAATAAAATATGAGTGATCCAAGTCATTAAATATGGACAAAATGGACTCATATCATTATGAGCTCAAATTGCCACCCCTAATAACCACTAGTGTCATGATCTACCACTAATTTCACCCATTGTTCTGCCTCATTATACCTTATAACTTATTACTTATGTAACCTTAAGACCATTTATTTACTTACATTACTATCCATATTATTCTAATTCAATACAAAGAAGAATTCCTCCCCTATAAAATAGTGGTGTTTCTTCCTTTGTGAAGTGTATGTCAAAAAAGATGAGAAATGTGGAAAAATATTGTAGTGTGTACTAAAAGAGAGAGTTGAGAGTTGAGCACAAAAAACATTGTAAGTCTTCAACTATATTCACTATATAAAAGAAAATATTTATATGTTGAAGGAAGTGTTCTTATGTGGAGCTTTGGGCTCTTCAACTAAATTCAAAGTTGCTTGAGTTGTACGACGTTGTTGGGCTGTTGTATCCTGGAGGGGACAAACCAAGATACATACTGCTAGATCGGTGTAGATTATGCCGCAGTGAATTTGAATTTCCTTAAAGAGAGCCAGATATCCGCACCTCAACCTGTTTTCTTTTATTTCATTTTTGTCATTTTATTTTCAACTGTAATTTATTATATTTGTGGTATATTACACCAACATGCAATAACTATGCATCATAAAATATGCACAGTAAAAACAAGCCAAATCAAATCAAATTCTCCACATATTTTGACAAATAAATAGGCTAGAACATCATTCAAATGTACAAAATTTGGATTTTTTTTTATGAACACTACAGTTCATTTTAGTTCAGTCCATAATTACGAAGTATATGGTTACTGGTCTTTCGAAGTGTGTGTTGCACATTCACATCTTTCACATAATCAACACATTTTAAAAGTTCAGAAATTGATATAATACAACATAAAAAAATTGTGGTAAAGAAAACAAAGATTCTTACCAAATAAATATAATGAAGGGAAAATTATGCGGATAAGCAAATATCTACTAGTTAATCAGTTAATATAGCTACAGTTTGCCTCAATTACAATTCACGATCAACTTTTAGTTATAATTACGCAGCTTAGTGTTTTAATTAATTTGTATAATTTGTCTCGTTTGTATAATTTATCACTAACAATTCTTCGTTTGATATGTATTTGTATATGACGGTGATTTCCTTCGATTTTTCAATTTTATCATTAGATACATTCAATCTTTTTTTATAACTATTTAAAAATTTGTATATACGTAAAGTTTTTTTCGGAATTTGTATAACATTTGTATAATGTAATTTGTATGATATAATTTGTATAACTGTTTAAAGTTTAGATATATATGTTTATAAAAATTTGTTATTTCAAGTTTTACGGATAAAAATAACTCAATTATTTTATATAAAATACACACGAATTGTACCGTCTTTCTAAATGAGATGATAGAGTTAGCTTAAACATAATACATCTCCTATGAATTTGGCTCGAATCCCGAGATTCTGCATTAACCGCAAACTTTCCCGCGCGTGTATATATATATACTATATCTGCTTTCTGTTTCCTTCATTAATTCATAACACACGGAGTGCAGAAAAAAGAAACAAGAAAATAAAGATTTCGTTGAACCGTTTTCTGGAAATGAGTAATAATTTGCCGGCGTCAACATTTTCAGAGCGTCGTTACAGGACAGAGCAATTGATAATGAATCTTCGTGAGAGTAGTATTCGCGAAGCTGTTCTTATTGAACTCAACAATTTCATCATAGAGCAGTCAACTGAAGCAATGCGCATGGATCTTGGATTTCACTTGTGGAACTCTGAACTTACACTCACCATACTTTTACAGGTAGCTATATCATCCAATTGATTCATTGTAACTTCACTACTCTTAATTGATTTATGGATCTAATTGATTTTAGGAAGTAGTAGCAGTGTACCCCAAGCTTTTAGACTCAACATTAGCAATGGCGGAATCTACTCGACTTTGTAATGCTCTTAATGCAATTCAGGTGAATATACTTTTCGGTTCTGTGTATCGCCACATAATTTTCATATAGCCTGTAAAGGCGATACTCTTCATGATATGTAACAAAATTAATCTTTTATGAGTGCAGTGTATGGCTTCTCACCCAAATGCAAGAATCGGGCTCCTCAAAGGTAGCAACAACAAATTGCTTATATTTTCAGTAGTTTATTCTTCTAATACTATTCTTTTTTATGCAGCAAACATACCATATTTTCTTTACCCATTTCTCCGAATCTCTGAAAATGTGATGAGGCCTCTGCAATTTGTGAAGCTTACCATCTTGAATCTTATTGCTGCCCTAGCAAAGGTGATAATGCATGAGTAAATTCCATCTATCTACATTCTAATAATACAAATCTCATTCCTCTCGGTATCTGACCCTAATACGATGTTCTGAATTCACTTTGTTGTGCAGTTCGATGAGTCATATGGGCAAGAAATTCTTCTTTTATTGCTAGACACACAAGTATTTTCTTTATGCCTGCTCTGCATCCATCATGGTGATCAACTGATACGGAAGGTTAGGCCTGCCTACAGTGACATGAGATTTATCATCCGAAATGCTTCTACTGTGATTAACTTTTATACATGTAGTTTATGTTTTGAATTCTAGAGTAAATTAAATGAGTTTACGAGAATGAAAGGCTACAACATCAAGAAAAAATTAAACCAGAGGAGGCAGGGCCTTCCTGAGGAAAAATAGGACTTTGTTTAGAATGGAAGAAATGGCCTGGTGATATGTTTAGTCTTGATATCATCCACGTCATAGTAACGTTTATTTTCATGATTCCGGTCCTCTCTCTTCTCTTCTTATTTGTTGTATAAGGAGTATATTTGAGTCGAAAATGGTCAAATACTCCGAGAGTTTTTACATCCATCTAGTTTTCTCATGTAATGTTCCAGAAGCTTGAGTCAATGTTGTCTTACACAGTGTAATTCATATGAAAGTGAGACCATGATAAGCAAACTTTTTGACTCTCTTTTTCAACCTTTTTTC